CCCTAAACCCTAAACCGTATGATTATCGGCACAGTAGCTTTGTGCTGGCATGGAGGATCGTCGGGGTCTCTACCATGCAGAATACGGTATACTATAAACTATATACTGCACACTATTTTTACTATTTTTCTGTATATTTATATATAATACATACTTTATACTATATTATATGATATTGGAGGTAGCATATATGTTCTTGGAAGTAGCATTAACAACCATAGCAGTAAATGACACATACTTGGGAACGAACACCCTTTTGTTGGAGAACCCTTGCCTTAATTACAGAGTAAGTCGAGGCTGAGCTTTGGGGCACTGCCCCCAATCAGGGGTCGACACTTCGGGGTGGAGGTGGCGAAACCAAGAACAGGCAGCCACCAACGATTTCGTTATTAATTCTGGTGGCTGTCGGCGGGGGAGGGGGGCGGCGGCGGATGGAAGGGACCTGGACCTTAAACACTTATGTCTTGGTTGGGATCTGCGAATAACTTGGGTACCCCATGAAGAAGCTTGAACCCTGCAAAGCACGCCGAAGCACTGAGAGGCTTCATGATTTTTTCTTAGGTACCCCTCATGTAGGGGCCTACATACTTGCCAAACTATTCTGGGGTTCCTTAGTATAGTTATAGTATAGTGCACCCCAAAGCCCTATGCTAGTTATTCAGGCCCCCTATATTATGCCGCAGCACCCAGAGTGAGCTTACACGTTAGTTACCGCGATGCAGGGATGAACAGCCCCACGCAATACCGAGAAGGCAAACTACGCCTGCAGTAGGTTAGCATCCAAATATAGCAGAAGCATTGTAACAAAGATACTCGGGGTTATAACAAATAGAACGATCCTGTTATTCCCCTTCTTACAACCTAAACCCTACACTCTTTAAGGTTTCGGGTATACCCGAAACCTAAACCCTCAACCCTAAACCCTAGACCCTAAACCCTAAACCCTACACTCTTTAAGGTTTAGGCTATACCCGAAAGGTTTAGGGTATACCCGAAACCCAGAGACTCCAATATCCCTTAATTAAGGAATAGTCCTTATATTATAGTAGGATCCTTAATATGATTTAAGGTATATTCCTTAATGAAGGGATATTGGAGTCTCTGGGAACCACGAAGCCGCAGGCGCCCGCCACCAAAGCATCCACCAAGGCACGCAGGGTCGGAGAGTCCGCTCGGTCTCGGGTCCGGGCATAGGTTTGTGGAAAATGGAATTTATATGGGGTTTAGGGTTTAAGGTTTAGGGTTTAGGGTTTAGGGTTTAGGGTTGAGGGTTGAGGGTTGAGGGTTGAGGGTTGAGGGTTTGGGGAAGCCTGATGAATTTCCAATAATCTTCCCTGACATTCGAGTTAGGGTTCCTGAGACTGATTATGGCAGGGTTGATACCTATAATAGTCCCTGAAGGTCCCTTATGGGAGTCCCTCTAACTCATTCCCCCTGTCCCCACAAAAAACCCCAAAAAATAACCCTAAATTAGGATCCTTCAACCCGATTGCTCCTACACAATTTAGCTTTTACTGTTCCTCGGGGTTCCTCGTTATACCTTGATATTCGAAATACGTACCAACACATACCAAACCTCATTACACTATAATACTCATGATGTAATATATCCCAGAAGCCTATTCTTGTTATTATAAGGCCCCATGAGACCCTAAACCCTCAACTCCCTTCTAGTATTAGAACGCCCCACATAGTCATTAGAAGGCACCATAAGATCCTAAGCGCTAAACCCCAAACCCTCAACCCCCTTCTAGTCATTATAAGGCCCCACAAGACCCTAAACCCCAAACCCTAAACAGCCCTAAACCCTAAACCCCTAAACCCTAAGCCCTAAACCTTCTTCTAGTTACTACAACGCCCCACAAGACCCTCAACCCCCCCCCCCCAAGTTCAGCCCACGAGGCCGCCGAAGAGCCCAAGAAGACCTCCAAGGCTCGCTCCGGGAGAAGTGTGGGTTTAGGGTTTAGGGGTTTAGGGGTTTGGAGGGTTTAGGGTTTCGCCTTCCGCCGGTTTCGAGAGTCCCTGGAGGGCTGAAGCTGTGGGCGTAGGGAGTTGGGGAGTTGTGGGGCTTTCGGGGTTTGGGGTCTAGGGTCTTGGGGTTTGGGGCTTAGGGAGTTGTGGGGCTTTTGGGGTTTCGGGTCTAGGGTTTGGGGCTTAGGAGGGTTTAGGGCTTTGGGAGTTGGGGAGTTGTGGGGCTTTCGGGGTTTGGGGTTTGGGGTCTAGGGGTTTAGGGGCTTAGGGCTTCGGGAATTGGGGAGTTTTGGGGTCGCCGGGTTTTGGGTCTAGGGGTTTAGGGCTTAGGGTCCAAACAACCCTAGATAGTCAGGTACCCGGGTATAGGATAGGTTAGTCATACTTGGGAGAGCATATGATGATTAAGAGCCCGGACCCTTTGGCTTAAGGCATGGGGAACGCGGGGGTCACGGGGTTCAGGGCTTAGCGTCTACTAAACCCTATAGGCATATAAGCCCCGCACCCTATATCCAGCAAACCCTAAACCCCTAAACGCTAAACCCTAAACCCTAAACCCTAAACCCTAAACCTGAAATCCCTAAAGCCTGAACCCCATAGCCACCCTAAAGGCCTAACATCCTCCAACCGACCGAACCATTCCTCTTTGACGGAGGTCGCCGAAGAGCCCAAGAAAAGCTCCAAGGAGCCCTGGGCTTCGGGAGGTTGTGAGCTTCATGCGGGGGTTTAGGGGTTTTGGGGTTCATAGGGGTTTAGGGTTTTGGGTTCATAGGGGTTTCGGGTTTAGGGTTTTAGGCTTTAGGGTTTTAGGGTTCATAGGGGTTTAGGTTTTAGGGTTAATAGGGGTTAGGGTTTTAGGGTTCATAGGGGTTTAGGGCTCATAGGGGTTACGAAGAGCTTGGAGATCTTGGGTCTTATACTCACCGGCTGCCGAGGGTCTTTGGGGGGGGGGGTTTGACAGGATGTCTTGCTTGGGAGAGGGGTCAAAAAAAACTATTTAAGGGATCAAAAAAAACTATTTCCGGGATCAAACAAAAACTATTCACAGATAAAAAAAACTATTCCTCTGCATAAGCAAAACACAAGCAAAACACAGCACACAAAGGAACAAAAGGCAGAAAGACAGAAAGACCGAAAGACAGAAAGAAAGAAA